CATTCTCTGAACCTCTTCTGGTTCTGAGTGTTGTCCGATTCATGAATCATTCTTTGCTGAAACATATGTTCCTAAATTTAATTTGTCGTAAGTTTTTTTTTTTAACGGGTTATAATCCATTAAGAATTAACTTTGCATATGGTGTGATGGTGGTCAAGATTAATTTTTCCCAAATGCACATATAGACAGATCAGTGCCACTGCCTTGACTCATGCTAAGACACCAGCAGTTCTACTCACCAATGTTTTTTGCACGATCAGTACAAAGTCAACACAGTGGTAAAGAAAAATAGCTATGATTTGTGTACCTTTCTGCCTATATGTTACATTTCAGTATAAAAATACTTAAAAATAAAAGTAAATAAATTGAGATTGAATCTAAAAAACATGATTTCTTAAAAGGTAAGTAGAATTAAACCACACTACTGACCAAAAGCTGACAGTAACTTCTCTTTGCATTTAGAACAAAGTTCAACTATTATACGGAAACTACAGTATTTCATTATCATAATGCATAACTAGTTTTCAAAATCTAGGCACGACCTCATCTTATGCTACCTCTCCTCTTGCCAATTACACTGCACACTAGTTTTCTTTCAGATCCTTAAACACACTAACTTCTTCCTTCATCAGCACCTTTGCACATGCTGGCCCATGTACTTTCCTTCCACTTTTCATATAGCTACCTCTTTCTTATCCTTTAGGTCTCTTCAAAGAGGTTTGCCCAGTCACGTTAGATAAAGTTGCCTCTCCCCCATATTGTATATCGCAGTCCAATATACTGTTACTGTACTTATTACAACTTCAAATAGGTTTATTTATCTGCCCCTCCATTAGAATGTATGCTTCCATGGGGACAGGGATCTAGTTATCTTGTTTCAGAATTATACTTTTTGAATTAATAAAAAAATACTTTTAGGTTGTTTCATATAAATCTAATAAGTCTCTTAAAATTTTGATATGATTATTTAATGTGTCAATTATCACTCCCAATTCTATTTTACCTGCCAATTTGATTGCCTTCTTTTTATCCATTTGCTTATTTATTCACTCATCCAAAGAAACTTATTTATTTATTTATTTTGGCATATGATGGGGGTACAGATTTTAAGGTTTCAATAAATGCCCCTTTCCCCCTCCCCCTGCAAGTCTGAGTCTCCAGCATGACCATTCCCCGGACGGTGCACATCTCACTCATTATGTATGTATAGAGTTTATTATATGTCAGCCATATATATAGGTTATAAAGATGAATAACTTATGTTCTTTATTTTTAAGGATCTTACCATCTATCAAGGGAAAAAAATCAATGCATGATAAAATAAAATTATTTCTTTAACAAAAAATTAATTAACTCAAATATAAAACCTTAAATCTAACTAAAATGTTGAAATGAAAGGAAAAGAAAGATGAGTCCTCTGAAACAGTCTAGTACATCTATCAAAAAAAGAAATAAAACTAATTAAGCATCACTTTTGCTTAGTAAATCCATGTTGATTCTTGACAATTACATCTTTCTTTTTCTTTTTTTTTTTTTGAGACAGAGTCTCTCTTTGTTGCCCAGGCTAGAGTGAGTGCCATGGCGTCAGCCTAGCTCACAGCAACCTCAAACTCCTGGGCTCATGCGATCCTCCTGCCTCAGCCTCCCGAGTAGCTGGGACTACAGGCATGCGCTACCATGCCCGGCTAATTTTATATATATATATATATATTAGTTGGCCAAATAATTTCTTTCTATTTATAGTAGAGACGGGGTCTTGCTCTTGCTCAGGCTGGTTTCGAACTCCTGACCTCGAGCAATCCGCCCGCCTCGGCCTCCCAGAGTGCTAGGATTACAGGCTTGAGCCACCGCGCCCGGCCACATCTTTCTTTTTCTAAATATTAAATATTTACAAATTTTAAAATGTATTGTAATAAATTTTAATGTTACAATTTAATATATTTTAAAATATATTAAAAATACATTTTTAAATATTTTAATATAAATTTCATATATATTAAAGAAGAGTGAGAAAACTGTATGTTTACTGATAGGGGTATAAATAGAAAAAGGCTGAGAATTTCCTCACTGCAGGCAAGAAGATTTCATCTAAATGTAAGGAAGAACTTTCTAGTAGTTAGAGCTGCCTACCAGTAGAGTGGGCTGCCTTATAAAACAGAAAGCTGTCTATCACTAAAAGTCTTTAAAGAGAGCTAACAGAACATTTTCTGCAGGATGTAGTAGAAACTCCTGATTTAGGAAGCAGCACTGATCAGATCATTGCCTCTCAAACTATGGCAAAGAAGTACTTTTAACTTTTAATTAGCATGGACCAATAGTTTTACATGATACAAAGAATCACACATTTAGATAACACAATGTCAAATTATTATAAAGGTTTCTAAATGTTTGCTTTTTATTTCTGTGTTTAACTTGTTGCACTCAGGTAACAACAAACTATGGCCTAGCAATAATAGGCAAACTACACTTTGAAATCTCTGCAGTCCTATGGTTTTTCGAATTTTCCTAGTCTGTCTTCTCCCCTTTTCTATAAACTGGGTATTTATATCAAACTACTAATGTCATAACAATTAACCTCTTTCTTCTGCAATTTAAGAAAAGCAGTAACTTAAAAGATACTAGCTCAAAAGCATTAGATCAAGGACCTGAGAATTTTTTTACTATATTAATTTTTTATCTCAATAAATTAAAAAAGCAAAATTTACTTTTTACCAAAATACATTTGAATGCTCATTTAAAACTAGCTACAAAAAAATTTATTTTCAGCCATTTCCCACACCTAATTTTCTGGTGTCACTTTCTTTACATAAGCTGATAATGAAATGTGTAAGAAATTACAGATGATCACACATTTGAAGTTCCAAATTTATTCTACCAGCTGGTAGCAAAACCAACAGAAAAGTTACTTGGGGCTGCAGTGGGGGAACATATTCATGAATTTCAGAAGCATTAGGTAGGGGATTTAAGTATTTGCAACCACCTATAACACCCAGTAATGACTTGGCCAAAGCAAATATAGTGAGGAGGCAAAATTAAGAGTTGTCTGTTCTCATACTTCCCCAAATGCTCCTGGCTTTCTCTCTCCAAAGGCAATGAGACATTTTTGTTTAATTCTGTTATCTTCTCCCCATTATAAACAAAACAACTTTCCTTCTCAAAAGATAATTTTAAGATTTATGAGCTATCATCTCCTAACTCTATCATACACAGTAGTTCCAATATTCCATAATTCACTACACTTCTACTAGAGCAGGAGTTCTTACCCGTGAGTATCTGTATCTGGGTTTTAGGAAGTCTGTGAACTCTCTGAAACTCCACATGCCTTTCTTTAAGTTTTGGGTGAATGAGCAATTATACGGGAAAAAATGTCCACAGTTGTCAATACATTCTTAGAAGGTACAACAGTCCAAATTATGAGCATCTTTCTTAAGTTAAAAATGCAACTTGAAGAGAATCATAGGGTGCAAGCTCTTCATTAGTTGTACGCGTATAAAAAAGGTTATTAAGTCATGTAAACAAAGAGGACTTTAGAAATAAATCTCTTCATTTTGGAGATGATAAAACTCACATTTGGAGAAGTTAAGGGAGTGTTTGAGGCCACAATGCTGGCTGGAAGGCAGAAGCCAGAAAAAAATGCTGGCCTCCTGCTCATGGGTCCATTCTCTCACATCCAGCTACCCACACAGGGCCAGACAGGAGTAAAGCACACGACAGTGAACAATCCCACCTCTGCTAAACATACCTTCTCAGAATAAATCATGTAATTCTTTAAACACTACTGGCTCATAAGATGCATAAATATTTTTTGTTTTACTAAAGGCATCTAAAAATCATACTCTTAGATACATTTTAGAATTTGCTTCCTTGCCAGCAGGCATAATGAACAACTTGTCAATCATCTGACAGACATGAGTGCTTGATCCTACTGCAATCAATCAGAGAAGGACATTCACTTGACCTAGAAGGGACACAGGATGTTTAGGAGACACAGAGCTTCAAGGAGGCACTTAAACACATTTCTTTCTCAGTCAATTACTCTAAAAGCCCACAATACAAAGTAAATTAGTTGAGTGGATTTTTCAGTAACTGTTGAAGCTGTTTAGAAATTTTAAGCAAAACCTCTTTTCAAAGTTTATTCTCATGTTTATTCACACTAAAGAACAGCAAGTGCAAAAAACCAACAGAGATGATGCCTAGTGAAAAGAATTTTTATAGTAAGTAATTAAGTGAGAATGCGGAAAAAGAATGCCTTATTTTGGTGTCAGTAAGGATGGATAGGAATCCAAAATTTGTTTTTAGTTTTGTTCAAAATAATTAGAAAATTGAAAGTCTATAAATAGGAATCCAAGAAACCCTTCACTTTCCTCCCCCCCTTTGACTTCTGAAATACAGTGCAACTTTCTACCATCTGTTATTTTAAAGCAGAAACAGTAATGAACATATGGGCTTTCTCTCTCAAGCAGCTGTAGTGTAGTTAAAGTTATAATAATTGTCTTTCTGTAAGATAAATTTACATTAAAAACCTGGCCAGTTAAAAACAAATGGCTCAGCCTCAGAGCCTTCCAGAATAAAATTAAGAAATTTAGAATCATCTATGACATATTACATTCATAGATTTAGAGGAAATCCTCTAACTCTTGTGCTTTTATATTTAGGGTTAAATAAATATAATTCATGGTGCCCAAATCAGTTTATACAATCAAAGAGCTCACAACTCATGTTTTCTTTCTTGATAAAAATGGTAGGAGCATCAAATAGGTTCAGATGCTCTTATAAAAAACAGCAACTAAGTTCTTGAAAGCTTTTAATATAAATCCATTACTTCTGTGTGTCACTGAACTCTCCAACCTAAAGGCTTATTTATTTATAATAAAAATCATAATACATGTAGCACATAAACTTCTATCTCAACTATGTATCATTTCTGAGTTTAAGTAAACTGAAAGGAATTCACAGCATATTGTGATCCATGTACGATGAAAAATAGGAATTATACCTACCTTTATCTGGGTGATTCAAAATCATGATTCTCCTATGAGCTGTTCTAATCTTGGCCTTGCCAGCAGATGGGCTGTAAAAAGAAATTAACGTGCTTATAATAAATAGTGCCAAATGCAGTTATAAATTAACAGTTTATATAGGTTTCAAGAAATTAAAACCTAATGAGAATTTCACCATCTTGTGGACAAATATGAAATTACAGTTTTTCACTTAATTCCACTATCAAAACAAATCACTGATTCAATGCTGTATGTGTTTTTCTTCAGTCCTTTGTATGCCAGTCCCTAGTCTCAATAAATTTAAAAAATAAAAGACAATATATAGGTCAGGAAAGTCTTAGTCTGTAGACTGTATTGTGAGTTTGAAAACTTACACTTCTAAGTTATTTTGGGGGAAGGCAGTGTATATAGTGTATTAGACAAGTATTTGGATTTCAGAGCTAGACTGCTGGATTTTAATCCTAGCATTGTCATTTCGGATTGGGTAACCTTTTTCAAATTTTTAACTGCTTTGTGCTTCCGCTTCCACACTGTAAAATAGAGCTAGCAATAACAAATTCCTCATAGAGCAATAGTAAGGCTTAAATGAGCTAATGCCTATCAAGTGCTAGAACAGTACTTGGCATGAAGCAAGTGTTCCATCATAGTTATCTTTTATTTTTATCTTTCAGAGGATCTCAAAACGCCTTATATCTCACAGTTTATTTAGCTTTGTGAGAAACCTGTGGTAAAAGCTTGGTTGTTAAAGCCTATGCTTTAAACAAAATTAAAGTAGAAAATTAAATAAACCTAAAATTATTTTGGTAAAAGCTAATTTATCCAGTATTGGCAATGTTTTTCATTTAGCACATTTTCTAGACAAGGAAAAAAAAATAACACTAACAACAACAAAATCCTACTCTTGCTACTTAATAGCTATGCTATTTTATCTAAGCTACTTAGCTTTTCTGGGCCTCAAATAGGGATAATAATAGCTTGGTTCAAGTATGGGGTAGTTGTAAAGATCAACAGAATGTAATTTGCATAGATGAACCACACTGCAGTGGCTAAAAGCAGGCACATTTAAAGTTCTTCAGATACGGGTTCAAAATCCTGATTCTCCCACTCATTAGCTATGAAACTTTTTCTTGCTGACTTAAACTCTTAAGTTATAATTTTCTCATATGTAAAATGCATATAATAAAATCTACCTCCCAGGATTATTTGAAAGATAAACTAGATGATGTAAGTAAAAAGATTAGCATTACCTAGCATAATCAGTGTTCAAATAGAAGTTGTTATTAGGATGTAAAGGATGCTTATCAAAATTTATTATGTATTTCCTACTTTTAAAAAATAAAGCAAAATATAAATAACTTAAACTTTAACATTCCTTGAATGACTCAGAGCATTATCATGATTAAACACAAAGAAACTCTCAAGGTCTGTAGTGGTTTGCTTCTTCTGTCTGTTTTGAATAGTGCCTCTCCCTTGCTATCAGCTGTCAATCCTTGATTTTGTTAGTGTTCTAGTCTTTAGCAGTTTCTTGCCAGTTACTTGCCACCTCTAATCTTTGGGTAAATGCCAGTTCACTAAGTATATTAAAATGTGCTATTAATTGCTTAATAAGCATATAAAATATTCTTTCATGAATAAAATGAATAAGTCTTTTCATATAAGGACTTAACGGTATTCCTTTTGGCTGTTTACAGAAGTCTTTGGGGGACCATATCAAACTTATTGTTTGGCTTGTAGGTAACTACCTGATAGACACTCAAACATTGTCCAGTTACAAAGACCACTGAACTTTGAGAATGTAACCATTAAACATTGTGTCGGGGATATGAACACCATATTGTTTAATTGTCTATTAAGAAACGAAAAACAATTAATTGTAGGTATGTGGCTTTATTTCTGAGTTCTCTATTCGGTTCCATTAGATCAATGTGTCTATTTTTACACTTGTACCATGCTGTTTGGGTTACTATAGCCTTGCAGTATAATTTGAAGTCAGGTAATGTAATGCTTTTAGCTTTGTTCTTTTTACTTGGGATTGCTTTGGCTATTCAGGCTCTTTTTTGGTTCCATACGAATTTTAGGATTGTTTCTGTAATTCTGTGAAAAATGATATTGTATTTTGATAGGAATTGTATTGAATCTGTAGACTGCCCAAAGTTATGGTCATTTTAACAATACTGATTCTTCCAATCCATGAGCCTGGATGTTTTTCCATTTATTTGTGTCACCTACAATTTCTTTCATCATTTTTTTTTTTTAAGCCAGTCAAATTTAGCAGTAGGGGGTTGAATACCAACTTTAGTGACACTAATGTTAATAAGTTCTGATAACCCACTACCATCGGACCAGCCTCTTTCATCATTATTTTGTATTTTCCTTATAGAGATCTTATACTTTCTTGGATAAATGTATTCTTAGGTATTTTATTTTATTTTTTGTAGCTACTGTAAATGGAATTGAGTTGTCATTATTGGTATATATAAATGCTACTGATTTTTTGTACATTGATTTTGTATCCTAAAATTTTACTAAATTCATATATCAAAACAAGGAGTCTTTTGGAGGAGTCTTTAGCATTTTCTAGGTATATCATATCTTCAGCAAAAGAGATAATTTGACTTCCTCTTTTACAATTTGGATGCCTTTTATTTCTTTCTCTTGCTTGACTTTTCTGGCTAGGACTTCCAGAACTACGTGGAATAAAAGTGGTGACAGTGGGCATCCTTGTCTTGTTCCAATTCTTATTGGGAATGATTTCAACTTTTCCCCATTTAGTATGATGTTGGCTATGGGTTTGTCATATATGGCTTTTATTATTCTGAAGTATGATCCTTTATGCCTAGTTTCTTGAAGACTTTTATCATGAAGGATGCTAAATTTTATCAAATGCTTTTTCTGCATCTATCGAAATGATCATATGAGTTTTGTTTTTAATTCTGTTTATGTAGTGAATCATATTTATTTATTTGCATATAGTGAACCATCCTTGCACCCCTGGAATAAAACCCACATGATTGTCGTGTATTATCTTTTTGATGTGCTGTTGGATTCTGTTTGCTAGTATTTTGTTGAGGATTTTTGCATCTATGTTCATCAAGGATGTTGGTCTGTAGCTTTTTTGTTTTTGTTGTTGTGTCCTTGCCTGGCTTTGGTATCAGGGTGACAGTGGCCTCACAGAAGGAGTTAGAGAGGAGTCCCTCTTCCTCAATTTTTTAGAACAGTTTCCATTAGAAAGAACTGGTAGCAACTCTTTGTATGTCTAGCAGAATTCAGCTGCAAATCCATGTAGTCTTGGAGAATATTTTTCTTGGGAAACTGTTTATTACTGATTCAATCTCACTACTTGTTATTGGTCTGTTCCAGATGTCTATTTCTTCTTGGTTCAATTTGGGAGGTTTTATGTTTCCAGGAATTTATCCATTCCCTCTAGGTTTTCTAGTTTGTGAGTGTAGAGATGTTCATAGTAGTTTCTGGTGATCTTTCATATTTCTCTGGTATCAATTGTAATGTCATTTTTTATTTCTCATTGCACTTAATTCAGTCTTTTCTTGGTTTAGCTAGCTAGTGATCTATCAATTTTGTTTATTAATATATTTTCAAAGAACCAATTTTTTCTTTCATTAATTCTTTGTATTATTTTTTGGTCTCAATTTCATTTGGTTTTGCTCTGATCTTTGTTATTTCTTTTCCTCTCCTGGCTTTGGGTTTGGTTTGTTCTTATTTTCCTAATTCCTTGGTATGCCTCATACTTTAAAAAATTCAGTATGATTTAGTTTTCTGTGGCTAATATACACTTATCATTCCATTTTTTGGTGCTCTATAGAACTTCTTTCCTTTATTAGTTATGTTATAGCATAACTAATATATTATATATTAGTTATTCTATATATATTTAATATGTCTCCCTAGGTAGATTCTCAATTACTTAAGGGTAGAAGCTATGATGTGCATCTTAAAATAGCATTTAGGATTGTACATGTAACGGGTGCTTAATGCATTTTATATCATCCTCCAAGAAAAAATGATGATAAAAAGGTAAGCTCCTTAAAAAAACAAAGGCTCTACATTAGTAATACTAACATTATAAAGGATCGTATTGAAAAAAATTTTGAAGTTAAAAAAGAGCTTTAAAAACCTTATTTCAGGCCGGGCGCTGTGGCTCACGCCTGTAATCCTAGCTCTTGGGAGGCCGAGGCGGGCGGATTGCTCAAGGTCAGGAGTTCAAAACCAGCCTGAGCAAGAGCGAGACCCCGTCTCTACTATAAATAGAAAGAAATTAATTGGCCAACTGATATATATATAAAAAAATTAGCCGGGCATGGTGGCGCATGCCTGTAGTCCCAGCTACTTGGGAGGCTGAGGCAGGAGGATTGCTTGAGCCCAGGAGTTTGAGGTTGCTGTGAGCTAAGCTGACGCCACGGCACTCACTCTAGCCTAGGCAAGAAAGCGAGACTCTGTCTCAAAAAAAAAAAAAAAAAAAAAAACCTTATTTCATGAAGTTAATTAAATGAGGCCCACTAGATAAAATAAAAATTCACTAAAACCCCAAATTCTGCTGTACATTTTTTGAGGATAAGTTGCATATTAGTCTAGATAACTAAGTTTTAATTGAGCACATAAAACAAAATCTGAAAATTACTTCAGCCAAAATTATACTTGAAAATCAATTACATAGCCTATAAAAAATAGTGCATATGGTTTTATACCTAAAACTCCATAAAGTATTATGTACACTGAGGTCTGCCAATCGCTGGACTAGATTAAAGTAAAAAATACGAAGAAGGTTCTTATGCGTAAGTGTGGACATTCAAAACATTCTATTTTTAAGATAATAATTATCTGACTCCTAGTGATGAGCTTTGGGGATGAAGGGAAGCATTCTTGCTTGCCTGCTGGGTTTATGACTTTTTTTTGCTATTACTATATTAAGTCTCTAGGACTGTAATACATTTTAATACATTTGTTTGTCACTGTAAAAATCAGAAAAGATGAGAGAATCCTAGTTTTTAAACTTAGTGTAAAAATTAAATATAGCTGCAATGATATAGCTCTAGTATATACACTTTTACCATGAAATAGAAAATGTAACTTTAAATATCATTTTCCCAGTGGGTTCAGTGGCTCACACCTGTAATCCTAGCACTCTGGGAGGCCGGGGCAGGCGGATTACTCAAGGTCAGGAGTTTGAGACCAGCCTGAGCAAGAGCGAGACCCCATCTCTACTAAAAAAATAGAAAGAAATTAATTGACCAACTAAAAATATATAGAGAAAAAACTAGCCGGGCATGGTGGCTCATGCCTGTAGTCCCAGCTACTTGGGAGGCTGAGGCAGTAGGATCGCTTGGGCCCAGGAGTTTGAGGTTGTTGTGAACTAGGCTGACGCCACAGCACCCACTCTAGCCTGGGCAACAAAGTGAGACTCTGTCTCAAAATAATAATAATAATATAAATAAATAAATATCATGTTCCCTAGACCAGAGATTTCAAACTGTGCTCCCTGGATTACATCTAGGTGGCAGTGAAGTGTGTGGGACTCAGTGGTGTCCTCCCACCCTGTGGCAAATGGACCAGTTTTGGTTTCATCTTTTATTTTTCTTTACTATTAGGCTATTGCATAATATTTAGTTTAAATAGCTCCACAGAAATTTTTAGAGAGTTTGAAAATCACAAATGTGATCACTTCAGACAATATAGGTAAGTCCTCACTTAACGTTGTCGATAGGTTCTTGAAAACTGCAACTTTAAGCAAAATGACTTACAGCAGGTCCTTGAATAACGTTTTCTTCCTTCAGTGTCGTTTCATTATAACATTGATGAGAAAAACACAATTGGTGTTGTTATATGTTGTTTTGCTTAAAGTCACAGTTTGTAAGAACCTATCAACAATGTTAAGTGAGGACTTAACGGTACTAGGTATTAACAATAGTATTGCTGGGCAGCTCAATAAAAATTCAGGCTTTTTGTTATAGGCATGAGTTATAGTGCAGAAAACTATTCTCTTACAAGTAAAAACATAAAGCAAAGATTCAAATACTCATTTTAGTAAACAATCACATATTAAATGCAATATGGAAGAATGTGTAGAATCATCAAATAGCACATACAGAGTACTTTTTAATACATCATCAACAGGATCAGCTCCATTTCGCTTCATCTACTTGCTAATATATTCCACACAGTTTAGATTCAGTGATCACAGAAAATGAAATCATAGAGATGTATTCATCGCTTAAAGTATCGTATCATAATCAACATTGTGAAAGAAAAGGGTAGAGGAAAGCAAGATAGGTTTTGCCTTTCCATTTAATGTGTTAGGGGCAAATATCCAGCTTCTGCACTCATGACAGAGATGGGAAGAGAAAGGAGACAACATTTTTTGAAGCACCTAATATTTGGTAGCCACTTGTATGAAAAGGCATCATTTATCATTCTTATATTATTCCAACAAGGCAGAATATTATTAATCCCAATTCAAAAATGAAGAAGCTAAAAGTGCAGAAAAGCTTAAAAAAAAAAAAAAAAAAAACTTGACCAAGATCATACAATACAACAGCTAAGCAGCAGAACCAGAATAAGGATCTGACATTTATGGATTAGTTACTAATTGCCATGTTTTGAATTAAGAATTTCATTTGTCTTATATAACCTAGACTTCATGGCAACCCTATGTAGTTTAAACTAATATATTATCTCTATCTTACTTTAAAGATGATGAAACCAAGGTCAACCATTTAGTAGGTGGTAAAATTAGTATTCAAACCAGATCTACTTGATCCCAGAGTCTGTGCCCTTAACCACTGAATTTTGTATAGCTTTCAGTTTTTAACCATTATAGCCTTTATAACCAAAATCTTTATAACCATATATCTTTTTTTTAATTTTAGTATATTATGGGGGTACAAACATTTTGGTTACATAAATTGCTTTTGTACTGTTTCAGTCAATGTTATAAATGTGCCCATCCCCCAGACAGTGTGCATTATACCTGATTATACACATTATACCTGATGTGTAAATTTACCCATCCCCTTCTCCCCCTCCCACCTGCTTGATTTTGAATGAATGTTATTCCATATGTGCACATAAGTGTTGATTGATTAGTTCCAATTTAATGGTGAGTACATGTGGTGATTGTTTTCCCATTCTTGTGATACTTCATCTAGAAGAATGGCTTCCAGTTCCATCCAGGTTAATATACGAGGTATTAGTTCACCATTTTTTTAATGGCTGAGTAGTACTCCATGGTATACATGTACCTTATTTTCTTAATCTACTAATGTACTGATGGGCACTTGGATTCTTGAGCCATGTATCTTTTTTTTTTTTCCTTGAGACAGAGTCTCACTTTGTTGCCCGGCTAGAGTGGTGTGGCGTTAGCCTAGCTCACAACAACCTCAATCTCCTGGGCTCAAGTGATCCTACTGCCTCAACCTCCCGAGTAGCTGGGACTACAGGCAAGCACCACCATGCCCGGCTAATTTTTTCTATATATATTTTTAGTTGGTCAATTAATTTCTTTCTATTTTTAGTAGAGATGGGGTCTCGCTCTTGCTCAGGTTTCGAACTCCTGACTTTGAGCAATCCACCTGCCTCGGCCTCCCAGAGTGCTAGGATTACAGGAGTGAGCCACCATTTCTTGCTTAAAATCATTTCCCATTTTCTATTCTCTGATAAAGAGAGATCATGTCTCTCTTAGATTTAAATAAAATTCTAAGCTAAATACAGCCCCCCACCCTCTTTTGTTTTTTGCTAGGTTATAAGAAGTAATAAAATGTTTTGCTTAAAAAATTTAAAAAATAAATTAAAAAAATAAAAATCTGCTCATCACAAAAGATTAAAATTTTTTTTCATTAATATAGGACTTTATTATCTATTCTGTTTGTGTTGATTAAATCACCAAATTTTATGTGTGGGCTACTGTAAGCAACTTCCACACAAATTTGAGAGTAGGCTCTGAAGGAATATAAGATAAAGAAATGAACACAGTTGATGATAAATCTATGGTAGGAGAAAATATTCTTAACATTAAATGTTACATGATATCACACAGCAATCATACAATATCATTAACTTTCTCCTATACTGTCCAAAGTTAGACAATAAATGGATACTGAGGCAAATAATAAAATATGCTAGCTGTCAATTTGTGGAAGTAGAAAAGAACTGTGCAATAGATTCTGAATTACAATTAAAAATATGATACTTGTCAAATTATCAAACTGAGTCCAGAGAGAACTCAGTGTCACAATAAGGGATATTTTGATTGACTGATTTGAAACTTTAATATTCAAATATTATAGCTCCTTGTTAAAAAAAAAAGACACATCACAACTTTGCCTGATGTTTTTAGGGGGAGTGGGATACTCGCTTAGATTTGAGGCTTTAAAATGTAAAAATTTGATATTTTCTCCACTGCCTCCTACTCAGAATTTTAAATAAAAGCATAACTTCATTGTAACATTTTCTTCTTTTTTAAGACAAGCTTGGCCACAGAACACAACAATACTTATGCAGCACACCTACCTTATACCTAAAATAAGACTAGCTTCTCGCCTACTCATTTTCTGTTCAAATCCTCCTTTATAGTAGGATGAAAGGCTCTGTAAAAGAAAGAAAGAGCAAGAAATAATTAGTTCTATGCATGAGGTGGCATGGCCTCAATCTCATCACATAGCTGCAAGAAGAGTAATGCATTTTACTAGAAGTCAACTTGAAATTGTGTGTGTGTGGGGGGGGGTGAGGGGAGCACCAAACGATGATTCTTTTCAAGAAACTTTGACCAAGAATACTTAAAAAACATTAACAATTTTTTTCACTTTAAAACACAAATTTTTCACCACTGAGATATACCTGAAGGAACAAAAGAGATTGGTAGAAGCAAAATGCTTGGACTTTTTATAAGCTCTGTAGTATTTTTCTCATTGGATATCCTTGACCAAATCATTTGATGGTGGTATGTCAAACATTGTTCTGCCTACCAGACTGGCCAAAAAAGAAAGAAAAGGAGGAACTGACAAAGTGTGAAGTACATCAGGATAGCAGATAAGCAAGTCAAGAAAGGCTGGGAAACTGGACCTAAAGGTTTTAGTTTGGCTAGAGAGGTGAAAACAACAAGGAGAGGTAGGTGAATTAAAGAGGCAATCAGAGCCGGATTCTGGAGGGTTGTAAGCAATGGAAAGAGTCGAGGATTTTAAGTGGGAGGAGAAGCCAGAGCACTGGAGTAACACAAACGGACTGTTTTGAAAGGATTTCTCTAACTGCTATGTGGAGAATACAAAGGTGGGAAGGTGGAAGCAGGAGACCAGTTAAGAGATGATAACAATAATCCAGTCAAGAGATGATGGTGCTATGGATTAATGGCAGAGGAGGTGGTACAAAGGAGTCAATTCTGGTTGTATTTTGAAAGCAGACTAAATCCTTCCTGGATATATTAAATATGGAATATGGGAAAAGAGGTATTAAGAATCATGCAGAGGACACTGTCATGTGCTGGCCAGATCCCTCTTCAGGAAAGGAGGACTTACTCCTGGGACGCTGGGGCTGCTGCTGGCAGATAGCAACTAGCTCTCAGATGCTTCAGGAATTGCCTTACCTGAAGAAAGCTCATGTCCTCTTCCTGGGGGACCCTATATCTAATGACTGGTTAACATGGGGGGTGGAGGAGATAAGCATTGTAATTCTCTAATGCATAGAGTAATTCTTTATTCAGGAAAAAAATTTTTCTATGAGTTTTTACGAGGAGCTCTAAAATTCTGAATCAGCATAATAAAGAAGACAAATTGATGATGTTTCATGAACTGTCATTCCCACTACAGTCACAAAGCTCATTAATATTGGTATTTTAGCAATATTTTTACTCTCAGTTTTGCCCTGGTAGAAATGAAGTCTCAGAAAAGGCTACTTAAACTCTAGTGTCCAGAAGAAGTTCACACCTTAGAACACTGCCTTTATGAGGAGTAGGTCAATCTGTACATATATAATCAATACAACCCTTCTAAAAGAACTTATTTTGAGGATAGAAACTTAATATTTGGGAGCTGTGTACAGAAAATCAGACAAAGAGAAAACAAAAAGTTGCTGTTAATCACTACTAAAACAGTTGTCCTTTGGTATCTATGGGTGATTGGTTCCAGGATCACTGGTACCAAAATCCGCATACTCAAGTCCTGCAGTTGGCCCTGCAAGGAACCCACAAATATGAAACACTGGCCCTCCATATAAGAGGGTTGCATATCCTGTGAATACTGTACTTTTGATCCACATTTGGTTGTGGATGCCGAGCTGCCCATATGGGGGGCTGACTGTATTTACTGAAAAAAAAAAATCCGCATGTAAGTGGACCCATGCAGTCTAAACCCGTGTTGTTCAAGGGTCAACTGTACACGCATATTTCTTCAGAGAAAGTTATACCTTCTAAATTTGCATGAAATTTAGGGTTTCTATCACATAATTTTAAGTAGAACAAAAATATTATCACAGTATTTTAATATGTTTAAATTAGTATCTGTATCATAAACAAGCACAAAACTACAACTCTGTACTCCCTCCCCTAATAAAATATAACTGAAAGACCTTTTTAAGTTAGAAAATAATAAACCAATATCATATTATATTAGGATATACAGACATAAGGCACTACAGAACCATCTTCTGACAACACTGTGGCGGACCAAAGAAAATGTTGAGATCCATAAAAATTAGATTATTATAAGGAGCAACTGCATAATCAAATAGATGGAGTAGATGGTTATATTTTTCTAATAGGATTTCCAAGAACAGAAACAGTAGGATTCCGCCAGTTTTATGATGCTATTAATATTTGAAACACATCCTAGACCTTACAAATTATGCTTTTGCATTATTCCATTCCTAAAGTACAGTATATATATTATAAACAAAAGAAGTCAAAATAATTTTTTCTAAAATTAGCATTAAATGCTATAGTGCCATGTTATCAAAAGAGATATAAAATAGACTAAATTAAACCAAAGTTGTTAGTAGCTAATTCACTCAGTCAATAGCTTGAAACACAAAAGTCCTCCAGACAACCAGAAGAACTATATCATTCTATAGTCTTGAAGAAGAAATATAATTACCATAAACTATAAACTTTTATTATTTACAATAATCTATTTGACTTATAGAGTCACAGAAGGATGATTTGAATTAATGTACTTTTCCATGAATTTCACTTGACTATAAAACAATAGAAATCCCATTTTTAAAAATTATATCAAATAAAAGGACAGATTCACAAATAGAATATTAAAAGCCTCAAAGAAAGGATGAGTGACTTGGGTTTTCTCTCCCATGGAAAAAAAAAAATTAGGGGTAATTAGACATTAGCTGAGTCCAAAAACATACATTAATATTTTTAAAAAACAAGCAGAAGGGCATTGGTTCAAAAGAGCACACAGAATCATAAAGGTCTTTTGCTTTTCAAAGTGAATTTGAAATGAGAAAAGAGATATTTTAAATAAGAAATATCCACAATAAGCCTAAAAATCAAGAAATGGGACAAATAGCAAACTAGGAAGTTTAAAGAAATCCTGAAAAATTTAAATAGGTCAGATTGCACATATAGAAAAATTCCAGCAGCTCTGAACACCAAAGTAAAGAAGAAACCCTTCACAGGAAACCAAGAAGAAAACACTAAATACACAAAACATTATTAGGTTAACTTTATTAAATCAGAAAAACAGAAATGGACCATTCCTACTCTACTATCACAGAGTAAAAGGGGCATGGCACCTCTCACTTTTGCCCTCAGGATGAGAAAGAAACCCATATGCTTCGGATGAATCTTACTCTGTGTAGCAGATCCTAAAAGAAGCAAAAAGGAGTATGAGCACATCCCATTTCAGAACCCAGAGGCCAGGGAGGTGGCCACTTTGCCAAGGAATAAAATATACATAGTGCTCAATCCCTCCTGGACTCCAGAAGTCCCAAGCCTGCCTTTGGTCTCCTTGCTTTGGACGACATGTCTGTTGACAAGCCCACCTACGTATTTATGGTCCCCTGTCAACCCTCCCATTCAAGTAACCTGCCTACCAAACTGCTGAGGAAAGTCAAGAGCATTACTTACATCTAATTTATCCTCATATATATATATATAAACCAACAACCAAGTATCATCAGACATTAGGAAAAAAACCAATATCATAGAGGAAAAATTAAAAAAAAAAAACAAGATGAACAAATAACAATTGGCTTTGGAGAAAGGAGATAAATTAGGAAGCAGAAGAGAATTTGGAAAAATTCTGATTAGAGTCTTTAGAGATATTCAAAGGAATATCACATTCATAAAATAGTGGGTTGATATGAAAAAGAAACATGAAAGAATTTTTTTAAGTTAAAAATTACTGATGTAAAAAATTGAGTAGATAGACTGAATAACAGAATGGACATTGCTAAAGGCCAACCCGCTGATCTGGAAAATAAACTGTATGAATATTATAGAATGTAGAGCGGGAAAAAAAAAAAACAACGGTAAGAGGCATAGAGAACAGATTCAGAGGTCTAACATCTTTCCAATACTAGTTCTAAAAGCAGAGAAGGGAGACAACGGAGGGAAAAAAATAAAGAAAAAGAAAAAAAAATGTAAGAAAATCTTACAGAACAAAAGACAGGTGATTTCCAAGTAAGTTATGGCTTACTACGAATTCTTGTGCAATTTCAGAACATCAATAATAAAGAGAAAATCCTAAAAACTGTCAGAGCTAAAAAAACAAACACCATCAAAACCTAAATCCCCAAAACACAAACAACAAAAGAAAAACAAAACAAGAGATTATTTACAATGGAATAAGAGTAATAACACCGCCAGAAAAATCAGCTGTGACTATGTAGGAATGTAGGAGTACAGGCACTGAGGTTTAGTCTCAGCAGAGATTTCTGTACTTCTCTGGCTCCACCAGATTTCAAGGAGCTAGCAGCTAACTGATAATTAACAGTGACAAAGAAAGAAACAAACTGTTTAATAGAGAAGAACTTAAAACATTTATTATCCATGCACTCATACAAAAAAGATTACTCTAGGCAGTATTCTAGCAAAATGAAAAAAAAAAAACCTAAGAGAAAGAGAAAGAAGAGATTTAAGAACAAGATGTTAAAGCTTAGAGGAAGCAAATAAAGTTTTTAAAAAATAATGAAAAGAGAACTCACTGGAACATTGAGGCTTGGACATTCTCCTTTGAATGACAGAGATTTAGTAACAACTACAGTTTCTATTTTTTTAGTAACCTTATTTGATTCAATAATTTTTTTTTTTTGAGACAGTGTCTCACTCTGTCACCCTGGCTAGAGAGTGCAGTGGCATTATCACAGCTCATTGTAACCTCAAACTCCTGGGCTCAAGTGATCCTCCTGCCTCAGCCTCCCTGGTAGCTGGGACTACAGGCATGTGCTACTACATCCAGGTACATTTTTTTTTTGTAGAGATGGAGTCTATATTGCCCAGGCTGGTCTCAAACTCTTGGCCTCAAGTGATCCTCCTGCCTTGGCCTACCAAAGTGCTATGATTAGAGGTGCCAATGAACTGAGCCAATGTGCTTGGCCCAGTTCAATAATTATTTACAAAATATTCAATATTAATTATTGAACCAGTATTTCATACTGTAAATGCTATGTTTATGAAGTTTGATATTTGGGATTCATTAGTGCCAAAGAGAAAGTATGCCATATTTCATATCTCAGTTTCTCTGGAATAATAACTATATTAAAAATTGCTTTAAAAATCCTTGTATCTTCACTGAGATATAATTGTAATGGTGAAGAAGAATAAATTCTAAGATGTTTCACTGCAAACTGCAAAAGTAATACTTTGTGAAAAAGAAGGAGGAGCTAGATTTATCAAAGGCCATGTTTCTTACCTTAAGACCAACTAACAAAGGAGAGGAAAGAAGGGTGCATATCATTTCCCTTTCCTTTAAGAAATGCAGGTACCAGGTTCAGATTCTTTATATCAGCTAGGCCAGGTAAGGCCCCCCTGAGAAGATGAGGGAGCAGATGCATGAAGCATCTGAAGAAAGAACTTACGTGAGTATATCCTTATAATCTCTTGAACTACCCTGCCTTATCTGTTAGCCTCTACCAAGCAGTGAAAACGTTCTCATTTTCTTGCTCTCATTGCCTTTACAAATGTTAAAAAATTTAGTTCTACAAAGCTTAGGAGCTCTCTATTTATGGTATACATATATCTACTGAAGGTCACCAAAAGAAAAGAGAAATGATTTCTGAAATTTTCTCTAGTTGTTATTTATAAACATATGGAAAGATGCAAATAATATTCATTTAAGGAACTATATCCCCGTGTCCATTACTATTACTCTGTCTCAAGCCACCATCATCTATCACCTAGACTATCCCAACACACTCTTAACCAGTTTCACAGTTTCTACTCTGGCTCACTCCAGTCTATGCAGCAGGCAGAGTGATAACCTAAATGCAAATCACATTGCCCCTCTGCTCAAAATCTTCCAAAGGCTCTCTTCTTTCTCCACTAAAACTAAGCTTCCAGCAGGCAATTTCCTTGTCTGTGTAAGTATATCCCATTGCCTACAATAATGTATTACATGAGTATACCTTTTACCATCATGCAGTAAGCGTTCAATGAATATTTACTGACTGATGCTGTATAGCTATCAATACTTAGCTATCAATACTTTAGCCAAATAAAATATAAATAGGAAAACAGGAAATACAAATATGCTCCCTCTACTCACAGACATGTATTTATAGGACTGCAAAATCACTTGCAGTTCTTTTGAACCTGAGTTTAATTATCTGTCAGTATGTCATCCTCTGAAAGTGCTGTCATTGTTCATGGCTAACTAAGCCTCACAAGCCTGTAATGCTTTTGCTAAAACAAGCCATTCATTCTCAAATTGCTGCAAGCTAAGCTGATCTATCCCAGATCTGCTTCTTTTTCCCAGAAGTCAATGTCTATGCTGTAGTGCTTCGCTGAGTTTTCTCTGTATTGTTTTCAGTGGTCACAAACCACAGTTCATGCTGTAATTTTTTGGATACGACTATCATTCATTCTGCACTTATTTTCAGCTCACCAGAGTAGCTATAATGCTGATAGAATAATGTAAAATAATTCCACAGGATTCATGCTTGGAATCTTGTGATTTTATGTTTCAGACAGGCAGGTGTGTTGGGATGAGAATAGATGCAAATTTCAAGGTGACAAAAAGTCCTGGGTAAGCTCCATAAGGGCAGGGCCTGTGTCTGTTTTGTTCACCAGCTATCCCAAACTCCTGGCACAGGGATTGGAATTGGTTTGTGCTCACCAAATGTTTATTGAATAAATGAACAACAATTAAACAGGGAAAATTAGTTACCTCAAAGTTGATGTGATACTACTAAATGGAGCAAAATGATTAGATGACAAAACCAAAAATAAGGCTAGATATTAAAATAACATAACCACTTAAAAGTTTCTTCTTTTAAAACTTCTTCACGTTAAGAAACATGAAACTTAAACTAAACCAATAAATTAGACAAACTCACCAATGATATAATGATGGAAGTAAACTTCTACAAATATTACAAAATCTAAGGCATTTTCTGGGTTACTTTAAAATATGTCATACTGGGTGGAGAAAGGGATGGGTATACACACACCTAATGGGTTCAGTGCCCACTGTCTGGGGGATGGACACACTTGAAGCTCTGACTTGGGTGAGGCAAAGGCAATATATGTAACCTAAACATTTGTACTCCCATAATATGCTAAAATTTTAAAAATTATAATAAAATAAAATATGCCATACAAACAAAAATCAAAATGCGTTTTCTAACTAAAGCCACATTTAACTTACAGGAGTTGAAATCTTCTTTGCAGTTTCCGTAATTACTTGTTCTAGAGGTTTCCAGATCTGAAATGCATAGCGACCTAAATAATAAAAGGAATAAAAGCAAATATATTTTCTATAATCCAAGCCAATCAATACCTTTAAGGTGCCTGCTATAGTATTTATTGATAATTTACTTAATATATGTTATTTTAATAAACATTTCAAAATTTACCAGAAAGATAGCCACATTTTTTTCAAATTTCTAATTACTGAACAGAGGACAGCATTTCATTTTAATATGCAAATATCAATCAACAAGAGGAGGAACAACCCTGGAACTAAGCAGAGAGCCTCCCAACTTAGGCAAATGGACTGGCAGATTTGTACTTACAAGTACCATCTCCCATCACCAAGAGTAAGCAGGGGGACCTAACCCACTACACACTGTTGGCAAGAGGTGAAGTCAGCAGGTCTGACATAACCTGAGAGGTACACCAAACCTGCTAGAACCCCCTATAGGCAACTCGGGACCAGCACTCCTCTCCCTTGCACACTTAGGGACTGATCTTCAGAGACTCAGAGACAGTCCTGTAAGCCAGGTCTTGCACTCATAGCTCTTAACTGAAAGGTCAGATGAGAAGGAAGTAGCAAAAGAACTCTAGAAAAATGAAAAATTAGAGTAAAAGGACACCCCAAAAAGAAAACAATAACTCCTTACCAATGGATACCAACCAAAATGAAAAGATTGAAATAACATATGAAGAATTTTGAATATGCATTGTAAGGAAGCTCAATAAAATACCAGAGAAAATAGAAACTCAACACAAAGAAACTACAAAAACAATGCAGGAGATGAATGAAAGATTTACTAAGGAAATCAAATTATTAAAAAGAAATCAAACAGAATTTCTGGAAGTGAAAAATTTGTTTCTTTTTATGGTGTACTATAGCTCAAACAACAACAAAATAAAATACCAGATCAGCTATTATTGGAGCTAGTTTTCCTAGCTTTTGTATCATTAATTTTCTTCCCTATAAAGTTATCTAGATTTGCTACACTGACAAATGCTCAGTAACTATAAATGGTGGAAAGAATGAGAATGTATAATGTCTGAAAAGCAAAACCTCAGAATACTACAGTCTACTCATGAATCACTGCAGAAGATATTGGGCAATATTTCTCCTGCAATGTATTGATAAGTATTCTTTATCTTACCTGCAAATGCAAGAGCTGCAACACCCAGTCCTACAGCTATCAAACTTCTTGCCTATGGAGGAAAAAATGAATATCACTTAGAATGTTACACACTGGGTTTTAAAAGTAAATCATTTTTAATAATGAGAATAATTATATTAAATACTACATCTTCTCCATGCTCTACTGTGAATAGAACTTTAAAAAATGCAGTGTCTATGGGATTTTATCTGCTGCTTGCTATATCAGCTAATTTTCAGTGAACTAAAATGATTCTAGATTTTTATTTAATTTCCATATATTTGAATTCATTCTAACCAAGAGCTTTTTTATATTATCTATTGCTAAAATTTTTAAACCATTTTTAAAAGCAGGTTTAGTATTATTTCTCTCCTAAGAAGATGAAAAGCACATATTTTCTCTTCCTTATTTTATATTTACAATGCTCAATAGCATTTTCTATATTTAAAAATTTAATGAAACCTTAGATCAATGTTTAGGGAAGAAGAGGTCAATCTATAAGATTCAGTAAAGACTTCTAAAAAGCTAGAATAATCCCCTAGGGATCAGAATGGATACATTTCACATTGGTGCAGACATCATAGGATAGAAGCTGAGACTAAAGGGATACTAAAACCAAAAAGCCCCTCAGCCATTGGCCTTCAAGTTCTGTAAGGAAATAGATAACAAGTCTTAGGAAATCAAAGTCCCAAACCTTCAATAGATGACTGTGTAATGAAAAACATCAGATCAGCAAGGATAACTGAACGAAGATATTCTAACTTTAATATTCAATAACTCTCTGAGAAATCTAGAGCTCTTCATAAACAAGATGAAGGAAATTCCTCCTGGCTTCTCCCCCTCAGTGTAGCTGTAAGACACCTTTTCACCAGGCAATGACACTAGAACCATTTCAGTAAAGGAAGATTCATCCCCTGGCACAGGAGAGAAAGCCTAGAGTTACCTACCTAGAGAGGCAAAACAGTCTTCAAGGTTCCTTTCAGGTTGTCTAACCTTAATTGTTCCTGAACAGAAAGAGGTACGTACTGATTTAATGAAAAAGCTCTCCTGAGATATATTTTTGGCATTTTCTAGAACTTCTCTGGTACCACATATTTTGAGGTTTATCCTCAGTTCAATCAAACTACTCAGTTGTTTCATGTGTGAATTATATTTTCTTCCCTTATAACTTTATTCTTTCATCTGACTAGAAGTACTCGTCATTGACTATCCAAATCCAACCAATTCTTAATACCCCAGCTTGAATCTGCCACAGAATGGCAGAAGTCACTTACCACACATAACAAAGGGCACATATCCAAATATACATATAGAATTCCTCTGAATAAAAAGACAAATAATTGAGTAGAAAAATGGGCAAAGGACTAGGTCAGAGACTTCACACACAAAAAAAAATCTAAATGATTAATACATATGAAAAGGTGCTAACTTCAAGAGTAACCATAGAATACTAACAATAACAATAGGGTATAAAAATATTATTAATAGTATCAGAATATAAATATTTGTGGCCTTTGTGAACTTATTTTGTCCACTGATGTATCTCAAGAGCCTAGCAACAATATCTATATCTCCCATGGTTATTATTAGGATAAACTGTACGAATATATGTAAAGGACTAAGCACAGTAGTTTGGCACATGTTAAACAATCAGTAAATGTGAACTGCTTTTAATTATCAATAGAAATAACTAAATACTCGTGAATATAAGTAGTATAATAGAAGTACAAAGTTCTATAACCCTTAAATCTGTCTGAACAAGAGAAAATTCAGAGAAGTAGTTTTTGAGGTAGGCCCTAGAAAGTGAATTGTTCTTCCCTAGGTGAAAAACACCAATTTTTCACATTTTGAAAAATGAATATTTGAAAAAGCTGCATTATTCTACAATAATTAAAACTTTTTATAGATTAATAATAACTTCATCATTTTTACTATTTTAACTATACAAAATATATGAGACAAATAGTTGCCTCCAATTCCAAAGTGACTTTTATTTCAAGGACTAAAGGCATATAAGACAATATTAAATCATGAAGCATTTGCTCATTTTTCACTTTATTCTAACAATATGTAAGGCTAAGTTATGTTACACAATAAAAGTTCAATTTAATTCAATAAGTAAGTATGGAGGACTCTGCTGATTATTCCCCATTAGTACCCCCAGATCCACCCTCTACTCTTGTCTGCCTCGTTCTGTATGTTCGCCTCTCCTTATTTCCAAGGACTCACTTGACCTCTAGCTTCTGGTTGGATTTTACCAGAGAGAGGAAGCCATCAGCAGAAAAACAAAGGGTAGAAGGAGAGAGAAATAATGGCACCACTTATTCCCCCTACTTCTTCCCTGCCTTGTTTTCTCTTTGGCCACAGCTCCTGTTGGGGTGGCTCCTCTTCCATACCTACAACTTTCACTGAGTTCTGGAACACAATTCCCATCCTTGCACCTTCATCTGGGTGGATAACAGTTTCCAACAATTGCTCATCCCTAGGTGATTCCTCATCCTTTTTAGGTTACCTTAAACCATGCCCACACCTCTGCAAATAGTCCCTTTATTAAACTATCTTAAAAAGAACCCATCCATCTATTTACCACTACCAATACCTATACTGTGAAAATGTCACTACATAACAGTCACTATATACATGTAAGAGATGTAGCATGGAACAAGGCAAACTTCGCCCCAGGACCTATATCAAATGGGTCCTTGGTAGAACCCTGAACATGGTAGGTAGGCTCCAATGTTTACTCTATGCTAAAGTCCTAGAGTTCATTCTTTTTATTATAACACTTATTATATAAATTACAGTTAATGTGTTCTAACTCTTTTAGCTTTTCTAGGTAATCAAGAGTCTTTTAAAAATCAGATGAAATCTATGGACCATCTCCCCAGAAAAACACAAACATATAGACACCACAGATTTTTGTTTATATTTTGAATGGATTCATGGGTCTTGCTGAAGTCCTTAAGTTCACAACATACGAACTCTAAAAAAAAAATAAAATTATTGAGCTCACTGACGTCGATGAGGGTGTCTCATTTGCCTTTAAGCCGCTAGAACACATCAGAAGACCTGCCATATATATTTCGCTTTTCATTCATTCAACAATAATGAAAATGTCGATTTATTACTTTAAAAAGTCAGTAAAATTAACTTCTACGTCTAAGACTAACTTTTTTGAAGGAAAAACACAAAATGACTTACAATCTTTAAAACAAAAAGATGGTAAAAAGGAATTTGAGGAGAAAACAACAACAAAAAGAAATCCAAATTAGGTAGATCACTGGAGTACATAAGAATGTTCAATAAATAAATGACTAAATCTGTGTAATCAAATCTTATTTATCCACACTAAAAAGACAAAGTATATAGCACAGCTAATCAAAAACCTATTCCTTGGTTGGAATTAAAATTCCTTTTTGAAAGTGGGTTATACCTGAATTACATCAACTATATTTTAATTAATCTGATATTAAAATAATACTTTGTGAGTGAGCCCAGGAGTTCAAGACCAGCCTGGGCAACAAAGCAAGATCCCGTCTCTACAAAATTAAAAAAAAAAAAAAAAAAAATTAACTGACTATAGTGGTATGCCCCTGTAGTCTGAGCCACTCATGAGGCTGAGGCGGGAGGATCACTTCAGCCCAGGAATTCCAGGTTACAGCGAACTATGATCATGCCATTGCACTCTAGCCTGGGCTACAGTGTGAGACCTATTTCAAAAAAAAAGGCTCATACCTGTAATCCTAGCACTCTGGGAGGGCAGGAGGATCGCTTAAGGTCAGGAGTTCAAGACCAGCCTGAGCAAGAGCAAGATCCTGTCTCTACTAAAAATAGAAAGAAATTAGCCAGATGACCTGTAATTCCAGCTACTCAAGAGGCTGAGGCAGGAGGATGGTTTGAGCTCAAGAGTATGAGGCTACTGTGAGCTAGGTTGATCCCATGGCACTCTAGCCCCAGCAACAGAGTGAGACTCTGTCTCATAAAAAATTTTTTTAAAACAACAACAAAAAACCCAACTGATAACAAACAAACAAACAAAAACATATTTGGAAGTTCAAGTCAACTTGAAATGTTTTTAAAAATCATGTATCCTATATAAACAGATTTGTACTGTGAAATGAGAATAAAAGTCCTTTTTTTCTTTTTTTTTACGTATCTGTTATCTATAAACAATTAAGTTAAAACTTGAATTGGTCCAGAATAATAGTATGATTTGTTTTCTAAAAAAAGATATTTATCTACCATCTAACACTTCTTATTCACTAAAAAGCCATTGGTATTTCTTTTCAGACACAGATTTAGGGAGCTGTAAACCAGTAACAACTCCTCCCAACCCTCCACATACCTGAATGACTCAGACAGAGAAAAAAACTATTGAATTTCAAATACAGAAAATAGAAGTATAAGAGAAGAACAGTCAGTCTAACGGCTGAGCAAGTAGGTCACACAGAACTCCTAATTATACTTTTGTTTGACCTTAATTTTTAAAAATAACATAACATCTAAAACACACTGGTGTTTTTGAATAGCCTATGGTTCATTTGGCATAACTGAATAAATAGAGAACTCCATCAATATGTTTTCTATTTTAATATCATTGAGAAAATTTATATATATATGCTTTTTCACTGTGTTATTTCTTATCTATTTAAACTTTGGTACCATATCCTTGGGCTAAGAGGATCTATTTTGTTTCTTTTATATACACAACGCCATATTTGATCCAGTTGTAAACAAGAAAATGTACTTCAATTTTTATTTTGAATGTTTTTAAAACAATGATGCTTTAAAATTAAATTGCCAGTAACAGAATGAGAAAAATGACATTGAAAAAGCAATATAAAAGCAAAATGGTGAATCAGGCATAGTGTTAGTACTACAAGTACACTTATTTTCTACCAACTAGGCAATAACCAGGTTAAATGTCCATATTGCTCATGCTATTAGATAGACATAATAGTACATCTGTGAATTTTGCAAAAATAGGGAAATGTTGCTATTGCTTTGACTCAGGAAAGATTAGGATATGTGCTGAAAATAAAAGAAAAATCA